ATCTTTTAGTTTAATTTTCTAAATATATGTGTGGTTGTCTATGTGTGTGTATCTCTTTAAAAATTCTGCAATTTCATCATTTTATGACCCCCATTTGCGAAGTTGAGTATTTATTTCCAAAAATGTGAAACTCCAGGGACAATATTTGAAATCTTCTGTTTCTTCCCCAATTCGCATTCTACTGTGAAATACTTCGCATCTTCATTCTTACACCCTTCGCATCCCTTCGCATTAAATTCTGCAATTTCATCATTTTATGACCCCCATTTGCGAAGTTGAGTATTTATTTCCAAAAATGCGAAACTCCAGGGACAATATTTGAAATCTTCTGTTTTCTTCCCCAATTCGCATTCTACTGTGAAATACTTCGCATCTTCATTCTTACACCCTTCGCATCCCTTCGCATTAATCACCTTCGCATTTTAACCTAATTAATCAAATGCGATTCACAAATTTTTCATTCCAGATGCGAACACAGTTTAGTTCTTGAACTCTAAACTTGCGAAATCAAAAATTTATATGTTGAACCCATATGCGAATATTAACCCAATTGACTTCAAATTGATTCATAGATGCGAACACTCGATTGTTTTACTTTCGCAAAATGAGCATCAACAACTCCACAATCGAGTTTTTAAATTCTTGCAAACAACAATTTCATAGTCCTTGACTTCGCGTTTTTCTTCACGAATCATCCCTCAATCATCAATCCAATTGCGAATCAAAAACTCATATGTTCTTGATTAGTACGAAGGCTTAGGAAATTTTTAACACAAACTTTTCTCCTGTGATGTTTTCCCATTAACATAGCAAGTTATACAATACGAACATAACACTAACCCTAATACACAAGGTTTAATAGAGTTGACCGGCTTGACTTGATGACTTGACTTGACTCAAGATTGACGATTGTCACATCATCGGGTTGGAATGCCCACATACAATACATATATAACAGATACTATGGGTCCAATCATCCATCGGGATGGAATACCCCAAGCCCTCAACCATCAGGTTGAAATGCCAACATACTATGGGTCCAATCAACCTTTGGGTTGGAATACCCTAGGCCCTCAACCATTGGGTTGGAATGCCAACATACTATATATATATATATATATATATATATATATATATATATATATATATATATATATATATATATAACATATACTATGGGTCCAATCATCCATTAGGATGGAATACCCCAGGCTGCCAACATAACCAATCAAACATGTGCACCTATTTCATATAATCATATAACAGTCTAAAAAGACAACATAATAGGGTCCTATCATCCTCGGATGGAATACCCTCAACTACCAATCAATCATGTGCACATATAACAGGTAATCTCTTACCAGCATACAGACAGTCAGACCAAACTATAGGTCACTAATCATAACCACATCCGATCTACCAGGATACCGATCTAACATATCATACTAACATGTAACCATCCTATCTACCAGGATACCAAGCTAACAGATCATACTAGCATATAACCATCCTATCTACCAAGATACCAATCTAACATATCATACTAGCATATAACCATCCTATCTACCAAGATACTGAGCTAACATATCACAACAGTAACACTCCTAAATAACAAATCAAAGGGCCGACCTTGGTGCCTTAGGCCCTTGAGTATAGTGAGGATAACTCACCTCGCAAAGCCGATCCAAACTGAAGAATCGAACTCCATCGCAGCCTCACCAAAGATCCTGAACTATCTAGAAAATAAATACCAAGTCATTACACAACATAACAATCTTGACTAAGGGTCCACACAACTCATGAAGTACACTCTCTTTATTGGGCTAAAGCCCAATACCAAGTCCTTAACTTGAAAGTCCATTTACGAAGCCCATTGCTGGCCCAATTTACTAAATTGTGCCCAACTTCCTAATTGGGCCTAATCCCATGATCCCTTATCACTACTTGGCCCAAAATATCTTATTCATAAAGTCCAGCAAAGGCCCAAATCCAGTTAGTCCATAAATAATCCAAAACTCGAAGCCCATTTGTCAAAGACCCAACAGAGGACGTATGCAGGGCGTACTCCTCTGGTACGCGGGGCGTACTCCTCCAGATGTTGACCACCATCAGGGTGGTTGACCCAGTACGCTGGGCGTACTGGATTTATGTTGGGCATACTCGACGGTTTGCCAAAACCTTATTAAGTGCTTAATAGCTTAAGCACTTAAGCCCACACTTCAGATCCAGTGACCTAACATGCCTAGGACCCATAAAGTCATGAACTTTATCACTTTGGACGTCCATAAATCTCTTAATACATGGTATTAATCCATTTAGACCTTTTTCCATGCATGGGACATATTTTAGCTAATGGGACCTCATTTTTATCACTTAGGACCTCTTGTAAGGTCTGAAAGGATATTTCTTTTCGTCCAAATCATAACATGCACCATTTTGGGACTTTTGGGACAAGAATGCTTCCATAAAGTTAAAATGACTACATCTATCTCATACAAGTATAAAGTTCCAAGCTTTTTACCTTCTGGAGCTCCCACAACAGATGATGAACCAAGATCTACAAGCCAATCTTCCCTCCTTGGCTCCTTGATGCACAAGCTCCTTCTTGAAGGCACCAAAAACACACTTATAAGCTCAAGAATGATCACTAGGAGGCTAGGGTTCTCTCAAGACGGATAAGGGTGGTGTAGAGGCTAAAAGAGATGAGAGGGTATGGTTCATAAGGTGCTTAAATACTCTACAAACGCTAAAAGTTAGGGTTCCATCCTGGCACACATACACCCAGCGTACTACTTAATTTTCCAAACTTACCATTTTTCCACTAGGGCCTCCTTTTGCCACTTCCTTCTAAATCAAGTGCCAAAATGATCTAATTAAAATCCAAGGGATGATTTTGAAGCTACTAGAAAAATGGGATAGTACAAAAATTAAGTCCTTAATGCAAAACTTAATCAAATCAATATGGAAACTAATAGAAACATAATTACATTGTCTTGTCAATCATTAAACTATAAGCCTCAACCTTAGTAATGCATAATACCCTTTTTCTAGTTGTGATGTAATATTCTAAAATGTTAATTATGTTTGGCACAAGACTTTCATAATGTAAGAAATGGAATAGTGTAAGAATTGATATTTATAAATGACAAGAGTTAGACTTTTTTATGTTTGAGAATTAAGTATATTGGGTTGGAATATAAAATACATTATGTATTAAGATGGAAGTAAAACAAGGATATGACAACTACATAAAAAGTGTTTGTACATATTCATTATGGAAAAAAGGATTATGATTTCCAGTTAATGAATATATGTTGGACCATATTGTTTATGCAGTTCTTAATAGAAGTGTATAAGTTTATAATGCATACAGTAAGAATCACGATGAATATGTTAGAGAAATTGGTGAAACATATAAGTTCCAAAATTGATAAGTAGCCATGTTTAGGGTTACAGGAACCGAGTATAAGTAAATAATAAATATGATATAAAAGTTGAAATGTGTATTTGAGATAATAAAGGAGATAACTAAACAGAATCAAGTCCTTTAAATTTAAAATGAAAAGTTCATGACATTTTGAAAATAAAGTTTTACTAGTGTTTGACAATATCGATACCCAATATCCTATCCTATTTTTGAGGCTATGTATTTCAGAATTCTATCCATCAAATAGATTGGTTCTTTATTTTAGAATTCAACCAAGATAATAAGGAAACGTAGAAAAAAGAATCAATCTAATATGAATTTGTGTTAAAGAGTTATGAGTGTTTACAATTGATGAAAAATATTGCATGAGCTAATGGAATTACATCGCCTAAATTGGGACATCTGGAACAAAACACGACCTGTGTTTTTCTATGTATAGAAAATACAGACCATGACACTTGGTCTTGAATTCTAATTGAAGATGCATGATTGTATGTTAGAATTACTGCTAGATTATGGTGTTTTGGATCATGAAAGCAGGTTATCTATAAATAAAGTAAAAAAATTAAGGTTTGACGGGTAAAAGGGAAGAAAACTCATGAACCTTGGAATATGTGTCTTGTATATGAGTACAAGTCTTAATTATGATGATGAATTGAGTATAGTAAACATATTTTACCATAGAACATCAAGGTTAAAGCTTGTAGAATATGATATGTGAATTGTGGATTTTAACCTAAAACCCTAGCTTCATAATTTGCTAGATAATTGAAAGTGAGCGAGTATCTTTATAAATTAAAATCACATTAACATGTTATTTATGATTTCTAACATGTTGCAAGTAGTGAGTCATGGTTCAAAGTTATGACATGAAAAAGGTATGAGATAGACGAAATCTCAAACTAAATTATTGGTTGAATTGGACCCTTATTACTAGAAATGATTTCTTATGAGTATTAACTATTGTATGTATAGGGATTGTAGAAAATTGGTTATGAAGTACCAAGTGAAGGAAAATGTATTTGTTAGTTGACACTAACTACAAAATGTGAGTACATGTGGATTTTTCCCAATGGGGTTCATGGCTTAATTATGAGTTTTTAACTCTATGGGTTCTTTTGAAAGGAGAAATTAATATCCTTGAATGATTTAGAAAACGCAAAAGCATACTTAAGTCTTAGTTACTTAATGTTTTAAGGTAACTTTGGTCTAATAATGGTTATAAAACTTGTGGATATTTTACTATGCAAAATTGTATATTGTATTTCATGCATATCATAACACTTGTGTGATTGAAATGTGAAGAAAAGTGGTGATAATGACATAATATCAGTTCTTGTAGTTTCCCTTCTTCTATGAGGATCTCTGAATTGAATACTCCATATTTTGTCAATATATCTTACAAAGAGAAATCAAAGCATGTATCATACTATGGCATGTTAAACCAACAAACAAACAAATGATGTCTTAGCTAATAACCCTAAACCTGCAAACAAAACCAAATGAAAGAAAAACAAAACAACAATTTGACCAAATCTACTCATATAACCAAAAGATTGAACTTTTATTTTATCATATGTAAGCTTTTAAAAATATATATATTACAACACCATACAAAAAGATACAAACCACAAAAGAAATTATAAAATGGATCAAACAAACACAACAAAACACAGACATAACAATTAACAAATGGCACAATAATCATATTCCCCAAGTATAACCTTTGGAGCCCTTAGTTTTCTTTTGTTCAGAGTCTTTGATAGTAAAAGCATTAAGCCCTTGAAACATAGTTTGGACTCTTTGAAAGAGGCTCACTTTAGGACTTGATAAGTAAAACCCAATTGAATCCAAAAACCATCCACTTCTTCCATAAAACCCTACAACAAGACCTCCATTTGCTATAAAATTAAAGGGTGTCCCTTCTTCAACCCCAAATGGTCCAAATGTTCTTTGGTTGCTCTTAAAAGTAAGTGATCGAATCACGGGGCCACCTCCGTACACCACAGGGCAATAATGTCCACTAACACTAATTAAAATCTCTTCGGGGAATTGCAACTTAATCTGAATATAATAATTAATATTTTGTAAGCTGATATGGTTTGTTGTTACGATGGAAAAGAATAAACGACATTATAAACTGATTGTTACATTATGTTATCATATTTGTTTAGATTGAATGAATGAAATGAATAATATAAATATGTTCGTTGTTTACAATAAAAAAATATGTTATTTAATCAAACAAGATACATTGCTTAAAATTTAAAATATTTTATTTTATGAAGAATGTATTTTGAAAAACAAACATAATTTATTGCTGCATAAAACATATTTCATATCCTCTAAAATATATGTTGAGTATCACTTAATAAGTTTTGCCAATTTTCATTCTTGCATTAATAATGTTTTATTTTAGACAAAATTGCACAAATGGTCCCTATGGTTAACTGAAATTTGCCACTTTGGTCCAAAAATGTTTGGTATAGCACCAAAGGTCCAAATTTTCATTTTGTTGTGAGTTTGGTCCGATTTGCTTTGAACTTTTTTATAAAGATGATTTTGCCCTTGCTTTTTGCTTTTTTTTTTAGTTTTTTTATTTAAATATTTTTCTGATTAAAAGAAAATTTTAAAAAAATTTAAAAAGCCAAAATCTCTCTCACTCACTCACTCTCTCTCTCTCTCTCTCTCTCTCTCTCTCTCTCTCTCTCTCTCTCTCTCTCTCTCTCTCTCTCCTCTCTCTCTCTCTCTCTCTCTCTCTCCACCACTTCGTTTCTTTTCAAAAAAAATACAATCCATGAACACCACTTTAGAAATCCATGAACACCATATTAGAAATCATAAATCCATGAACACCTACTTCAGAAATCAAAACACATCTTTATAATTACGATTTTTATAAAAATAAAATATCACCACCACCATCGAAGATTTGAACTAGATTTAAGGGAAAGAAATCGATATATTGCCTTCAAACATGAAAACACACATACACGAACAGATCTCGTTTCGTCTTGAGATCTCGGAGCATATATAACGAGGTAGAGAGATGGATTTCGATTGACCTCCGACGGTTTGTCTTCTCTGAACCACGACGTAGACATGGAAGAAAAAATGATGATAAAATCACATTCTTCTATATAGTTTCATCTAAATTGATCTCGAAGACGAACCACCATCAATCTAACCCTTGTCGAAGCCGCCTGTTAAAGCAATCCCTACCACTAAACACCCATCCCTTCACCTCAAGTCTCTCCCCTTGATTTCCAGTTGCAAAACGCCGCATCTAAAAACCCTAGCCGCCAAGAAACCCTAACTTCAAATTTGGATCTCCTTTCTCTTGTCTTCGGCTGTCAAGGTTCAAAGGGAGGGTAGCAACGATCAAAGTGGGTGTTTGGGGTGGTGCTACCTGAATGAAGGGAGGTGGAGAATGGTGATGATGAGGGCTGATTAAGGATGCAGCTGACTTGCCTAATTTTTTGTTGGAGATGGAGATGCTCTTTGAGGGTATCTCTTGGCAACAACAGTGAAACGCAAAGATGGAAAAGGGATGGGGAAGACGGTGGGTGGAGAGAGAGAGAGAGAGAGAGAGAGAGAGAGAGAGAGAGAGAGAGATTGTATATTTTATTTATTTATTTCTTTATAAAAAAATTATTAAAGTAAAATAGCAAAGAATTTTTTTTTCTTTTAAATAAAAATATATTTAAATAAATAAAAAAAACTAAAAAAGAAAAAAATAAGAGCAAAATCGTCATAATGAAAAAGTTCAAAGCAAATTGGACCAAACTAGCAATAAAATGAAAATTTTCGACCTGTGGTGCTAATGCAAACTTTTTTGGACCAAAGTGATAATTTTGAGCAAAACCACAAGGACCATTTGTGCAGTTTAGTCTTTATTTTACACTCTACTTATATTTCGATTTCACTCTATCATTATTACTACATACCAAACACTACCTCTACTTTCATCTATAAACAAAGGGCCAAAATGTACCTTAGCAGCTTCAGTTCCTCCCATTCCTCCATGTTTTTCACCCAAAAATGGTTTCCCAAACTTATCATAAGTCACACAAATTGAATCAATGCAACTTCCATATACAATACTAATTTCTCGAATACCACTATAGACTCCATCATTCCAAGAACACCCTCCATTTCCTCCCCATGGTCCTAATTGTATACTCTTATCCTGTTGTATTCAAATATGATTAAAACATGTTTTCAAAAATATTAACACTTAAAATGATTTCATACCATGGTGAGTGAGTCCAAGAAATTGACGTAAAGAAAAGATATAATAATAATAATAATAATAATAATAATAATAATCTTAGCACGACAATTTATAGAGCAAACAAAATCCGAATCCGATTCCAATTCTAATTCAGATTCCACACAAAAAACATCTGCCGTAGTTAGTGGAATAAAAAAGGATAGTGGCTTCTTGCTTTTCCTTTGCATATATACCTTGGTTGGATTAATAAACTTGTGAAGAACGATGCATGTTGAACTAAAGAAAAACGATTTATATAAATAAATATTACTAATTGTGTTAAATAAACACTCAATTACATCATAATGTATTTCCAAATAACACAATTTTTATGATTTCCATGTAAATTGGAAAGTAGTTTGTTGTAGTTCTTGAGATGTTTCATCTCCTTCAAAAACCACCATTTTGACATCTTTAATGAAATGAAGCCAGCATTTCTTTGAGTAATATGTACAGCATTTTGGATTCTTTTCTCTTGACATTATCTTCTCCTTTACAAACTATAATAAAAAATTAAATAATATGGTTAAAACAAGTGGAATAGAATCCAGTAATACAATTTAAATAAAATAGACTTTTTTTTATTTATGTTTATGTGTTTTTGTTTATTGTAGAAAATCAAATCATTTCCCAGAGGCTTAACTAAAATTACCTTCAAAAACTCACTACTGGAAGATGACACCAATGACAAAGTCTTTGGTCGAGACATTCGTAGTAAATTACCAATATACCCCTTCACCTTCACAGGAGACTTTATAAGTTCTATCTTCAGATCATGTGATGACAGATATGGAACGTTCTTCAATTCTTCATGGATAGTAACATTCTTCAAACCCCATAAAACCAAATGAATATTCATTCACAAAAGAAAATGAAAAAATAAACATTAAAATAATACCTTATTAGAGCTAACAACCATTTTCCAATCTCCCTTCCTCTTAAACTTCATTAAAAAGATCAACAACTCCTTCAAAGGGACAAACTTGTCTTTTTTATTTTGTAGATTTAATTTAGCCTCACACAAACCTCCAACACTCATGCAAGAAAATGGCATCCTCTCACCAAAATACTCTAACACAGACAAATTTGGTGCATCAAGAATAACCTCCTCTACATTTTTGCATCTAATCACAGATAATTCCTTGAGTTTCATACTCAATATGGTTACTCTCTCAAGATAATCACATTCTCTTAAAGCTATCTTTTCAAGATTATGGAACTTTATAATCATTTGTTGAAACTCCTCATCTGTAAGATTTGAATCCTTCAATGTCAAACACTTCAAATTTTCACAATCTCCTATGTTTATTTCACAAAACCATGACTTTTTCCCAATATATAAAAAGCTTGTAAGACTAGGAACCTCAAGGTTAATCAACACAAGCCCATGGCATTCGTGTAACTCAACCCTGGTTAGTTTAACTGGAGTTGATATCTCCAGATGACCTATTCCTGTACAATGTACTAGTCTTAGATCTTCAACCAATGGGCATCCATGAATAAAACTCGGGATCACATTTTTATCTACATGAGAGTTTTTTATGGAAAGTTCTTTTAAATTGTGTAGATTAATGATAAACTCATTATCAAACTTGCAACCAGATAGCCTTAGTGAAGTTAGTGTAGAGGAAGTGAGGATGAAATTTGGTAACATGTAATGCTTTCTTTTCTTTTCTTCTACATGAATCTCTAGTTCTTTGACATTTCTTTTTATAGCTGAATATACCCATTTGTTAGTGTAGAGTTTCAACTTGGGATTAATTTGAGATAAAGAAATCTTGAATTTATGTATCCTGACTATTGGATCAAGTTTGGATGCTAAGGAGTTGTCAACAAATGTTATGAATTTCTCAGTGTGATCTCCTCCTGATGTTTTAAACCTCTTTTGGTCAAAGTTGAAGAAGAAAAATGAAGCCCAGATTGACCTCCATTTCTTAGATAATGCAGTGATTCGGGCAACGTCTCTCGGGCAGTGGAGAAGAGAGAGGATGTGATGGATGATGGGTTCGGGCAGTTCTGAGATTCGGTCAATGGGTTCAATTACTTCATCTACTTTATCAAACTTTTCCATCTTTCGTTTCTTTCTACTACTGATTACTTTCTTAAAGATGGATGAAAGTTTTCTCTTTGATTTTCTGTTAGTTGTGAATGGTGTATAACTTGGGACACCTTTCTTGTTTTGTATGTTTGGCTTCTTACTGTGTCCCACTTGATTGCCTAAACTAGATGAATGTTCTGTTTTTTTCTTCTTCCTGTTGATCTTCAAAAGCTTTTTAGAGATGCTTCTCTTCAGTTGCCTATCAATTATCAGCCACCTGGTTTTCATAAACATTTTCTGTTTACTAAACTATCTGGATAGCCTATGGCAACCTGAATGTTCACATATATGAAACGCATGTCAAAACACTACAAAGAAGCCTAAATGCTAATTGATGTGGTTCAGGGTAAAACCAGCACAATAGTTATTCGATCAAATGTAGACAAATCGGGAAAAAGCCTAAGATAAGAAAACATAGATCAATTACATAAACATGAGCGTAAGTGCATTGTTCATATAAATATAAGAGCGCTAGTTCATCATCAATACATCTACGATCACTTTAACAACAGCTTTTATATGTATTGATCCTTGAATAAACAAGAGCAACACTTGTTTTCGCTAGAATTTTCTCAAAATCGATCAGTGAATGTAATCATCTTCGAAAACGAGCGAATTAGATTCATCGAAGTATCGAAACTGTCGCGTTTTATAAAAATCGAAAAACTCAGTAGTGCATTCACAATTCTAAAAGTCGGATCAATTTAGATCAAAACTTTAAAAGAACAAATTTGATACACAAATCGAATAAAATCTCATTATATTAGGGCAAATCAGAGTAATTAAACGGAATTCCAATAAAGGGAGGGTGTTCATAACCCACCATCGAGAATGATAAAAATTTTGCGCAAGAACCTGTGTATGGCTCGGCGATGGGATCGCTCCGGCCGCCGTCTCGGTTTTCCTGCTTCTGCTGCACAGTTTTTCTCTCAAGTGTATAACAAGTTATCAACCACGGGTCGGTTAACATCCCGTGGCCAAAAACTGAAAACGTATTAATTGGACTTGTAAATTCTGGCCCATTAGTAAACATGTATTTAAATTTTAGAAATAAAC